CAGCAGGAACTAGCCATCCATTGGCTCCACTGTAATGTAACACCACGCTCTTGGCCATGGTTTAACGACAGGGTAAACCCAGCGTTAAAGCTGCTTGGAAACAGCCACATGGCACAAAGCACTATCTACTATAACACCCCTCAGCTAGTCCTACTATGTTTAGAACATTCTAATATAGTAGCGGCAGACTTCATGTTAGGTTAGGAATTATCTATCCATGCCACTTTAATTTCACCCTGGATCACAGATCGTCTTCCTGTCTGGGTCTAGCATGAACATCATGGGCTTCAGCGAAACCAGTGCAAACAGGATCAGGAGCCACCTGGGGTGGATCAGATCTGTCTTTCGGGGTATGCATAGATCCAATTAAGAGTGGCACAGTCATTGCCTATGAATGCTCGTGCTTATGGCCTGCGATATGACCTAGGGCATCCTGGAAAACATCATCTTGCACTAACAATTTTTGTAGGCTGGGCTATCAGAAGATCCCAGGACTTCTGTTCTCCATGCACCAAGTTGAGGAACTGACAGTGGAAACTGGAAGAAGCTGGAGAGGGTTTTGGGTGGAGGAACTGAGAAATCAGCTCAAGAAGAAGGCAGAGGGGGTTTCAAGGAAGCACAGTAAGGGAAAAGGAAATAGGTAGGCAGGGAAAGCACTTAGTAAAGAGTCACAGGGGGCTGAAAGAAGTAGGAAGGAGTGTGGGGGAATAACCAAGAGCTGAAAGGAATTGGGGAAGGGGGAGTATGTCATCCTATCGTCTTATTTGCTGACGTGCCTATTCTTTGCTTTTAATAAGGTGGCAGACCTACCCAGTACATCCTTCCTCTGGTCCCACATGCTTGCAGGTGTGTAGCACATTGCACTCCGCACCCTTACAAACACCACATACACAGCTCCAGGTCTTGCACTGACAGGAATTTATACGCATCCATTCCTCATCCCCAAGGGTTCACATACCCACCAACTGCACAGCTCACCTGGCCCAAGGCACCATCTTGCTTGCCAGCTTGCGACTGATGCAGAACCCAGCCCCTCCTGTGGCAAACCAGAAACGCACAGATTTCTGGAGAGAAACAGCAGAGATAGATAGTCAACAGCAGCGCTTCAGACAAAACCATACTCCCTGAGATGGGAATGCTAGAAAACAAGCTTTGATGCAGAGATAAACAGATCCCCACTGTCATCCTCCTAACTGCTGCCCTAAACGAGGCCTTGCTGGTAGTACAGCACAGATTTTGACTTCCTCATGTGACTGGGAAGCCAGGATAACCAGGGCTGCTAACACAGCACTGCAGTTCCCCTCTCAGCCAAAGGAAAACTGAGCAAGCAGAGATGGGGACTCCACTGGCCAAATAACGTCACTTGTGCTAAAGAAGGCTAACTGGATATCCAGGCTCAACCCCGCCAACTTGTTAAAGCAGAGCCAGCCAATTTGGAGGAATCAAGTCCCTGCTGACAGCAGCAGGTGGGCCACCCAATGCAGACTTATCTCCTTGCAGATGGGTACCCAAAGGCACAGCAGCAACATGGACCATCATTTATTCTTCCTCTGGGGGGCTCCCATCAATGCTACAACATTCAGACAAGATCAGCAAGTTTTCAGCTGATGCCTGTGGCTCTTTGGGCCTTTTTCATCATGGTACAGCTAGCGCCAATGAGCCAAAGCATTAAAACCAACCCATTCCCCTCCCTCCCTGCCACGAGCCAGGGGCTGTACCGTCTTTTTGTTAGGCAATGTTTCAGAGGCCCGGATGGGTCGATTTAGGCTGGGTTTCCCTAGGTAGACATCCCATGCTGCAGAGTAGGAGGACAAGAGCTTCAGGAGGGCCCGAGGGTTCAAATAATTGTCGTCGTCCATGTGGCAAAACCAGCTGGAGGGAGATGGTAACGAAGATACAAGAGGATTTCAGTAAGGAGGGTGCCTCTTTCTCTCAAGAGCCTGCCACGCAAAGGTGCTAAGCAGCAGCACACTGACCTGATTTCAAAGCACCTGGAATCACACCCTCAGTGCCCGACTCCCTCCTTTCCTCCTTTATTCAACAGGGATAAAGTGCCATTCTCCCTCTCCACTCAGCCTCATACTGATATTTTTCCTCAGTAAATGGCTGCCCACATGAGCTCACAACCATGCCACCCCAGCAGCCCATGGCAGCCCCAGCTCACCTCTGGTCGCTGGCCAGAAATGCATTGAACTCTGCAGCCATCTTGCAGGAGAGGGCAAGGTGGCTGTGCTCAGCAGAGCAGTTGGTGAACACCACGTGGTCGCCTGCAAGGAGAGAGAAGGCTATCACTCTGGTCTGGCCTGCTTCAGAAGGCTATCACTCTGGTCTGGCCTGCTTCATGTGGTCCTGGAGAGGAAAACCCTCTGGGCAGAAGGGAAGGAGAGTCTGTACAAGGCCAGCCTCCTCACAGCCCCTTGAATAGGCATCCAAGCCCACTGCCACATGGGTGCTTTCTCCCACCTGCTCAGCTCTTCACCTTACAAACCCCAGGCTGTTCACTCCACACAAGTCTTGCTCTGAAGATCACTCCTTGCTCTTTTGCTTCATGGCTAGACTTCACCCCATGAATGGCACAGTGGGTGAGAAGAGTCTACTCTTCAGCTTATCAGTCTATTTTTCCCACTGCCATCACTGCACCTTTCAAAGACACATAAGTCCCATCTTTCCCCTCACTAGGAGCTGATACCCAGGGAAAGTGAAGCATCTTAGCCCAGGTTACAACCTGGCTTTGCCAAATCACCTGTCAACCACACTTCCATCCTGCCCACTGCTAGCCAGGATATAGGGACTGCAGAGTTTTCTCCAAGGCTGCTTGTACTGAGTGGCTTTTGACTGTGGATGTGTTAAGGCAGACGGTCTCCTACCTTGAGATAGACATGTGCCCTGGGGGAAGTCAAACCACAGCAAATCATCACTGCTCCACCCTGGGAGCTCTGTGGGGCCCTCCTATGGGACATGGCAAAGGCAACGCTCCACCATGCAGAGCTCCCACAGGAGAGCCAGCCTTCACGCAGGACCCCCTCCAAAGTCCATGAAAGTTAAAAGGCTCAAGGTAAGGAGGAGGACATGATGTTATAGGAAAGGTGATTACCCATTCTCCTTTTCAGGGCTTCATCTTCTTCATCAGTGAAGACATATGTCTGGGGAAATGAGAGAAGGAGGTCACTCTGAGGCCTGGAGCTGCAGCTGCTTCTGGCTGCCCACCTGCTCCTCCCCTCAGCACCGCACACACACACACTGCAGTAGCCTCCCTCCCACCCCACGCAAGCCTCTGCTTCCATGCTCTCCTCCAGGCACCAGGCAGCAGCTGGTCTCCCTGTCCAGGCAGAGAGATGGCTGGCTGCCCCATTGTCCCCTCCCCCCACACAGCGCCAACCCTCTTCTCACTTTCACAGCCAATTAATCCTCTTAGAGCCTCCCGCCATGCTCACAGGAGGTGTAAACAGGCCCCCACACTGCCCCCCTTGCCCTCCCACTGCTTCAAGCTGCCACTTCCCCATGTACAGAAAGGGGAGGGAGGGGCCAGTTTGACCAGGAAAGCGGTTTCCCTTTGGCTTGGGTGAGCAAAGGGAAAAGGGGTTCAAGTCCCCAAGTGCCCCTCTGCAAGATGAGCTCAGCCAGATGGTGTGCAAGGGAACAGGCAGAGCAAGGCAGCCTGGGTCACCCTCTCAGAGCATGTCAGGGCTCTCCTGGGGGTATGCTGGTTAGCATTGGGTGAGACCGCAGGAATGGAAGCTTTGCTTGCTCCTGGACAGCCCCACAGGCTGGTCCCAGCACACGAGGGCCTGCCACGAGGAGAAGGGTCAGTGCCTTCTTTGTCACCGCACCCACTGCCCTGAGCCAGTACCATCCGTGCTTGTGTTGCTTCGTTTTTCCCAGGGGTCTGCTGCCTTGGGACAAGGGGACCTGTAACAGTGCGTGAGGATGTGATGGAGGCTGGCTTAGGTGCTGGTTGTAGAAAAATGAAAGCATTGTGGTCAGATGCAGCTCAGGTTAAAAGGAGAACATCTGTTTGTGTGTTAAGTGTGTATAGCCCCCTGTTGCTTCCCTGCTGCCTTCTCTTCCTCCACCTCCCAGGCCTCTCTAATCCCTCTCACTGCCATTATGCAGCATATCTCCCCCTCTTCAGGGCCGGGCAGGGATCAGAGCTTGGGGAGAAAAGCTCCTCTCAGGCAGAAAATGAGCTTTCACGAAAACAAAAAGGAGTCACAAGCCTTAAACTGTCTCTCCACCAGCTGCCCACAGGCTGGTTAAACACAGCACCTGGGTAGGGACAAAGGGGAAGAGGCAGACTGATGACAGCTCCTAGGAGCTGTCATTGCGCCAGAAGGCTCTGACAAGGAGATGAGTCCTTCCCTCTACATCTCCCGACATCTACCCAGCATTCGGGCTGAGAAAGGTGTGGGAAGAGAAATTCTCCAAACACAAAAGGAAGGCAGTGAAGGACCCTCAGAGACCACCTGGCTCTGGAAGAGACAGCAGCACCAGAATTAAGAGGACGGTCTTATTATGCCAAATGTGTGACTTGCAGTGACTTGGTGAATTACCTTCCAACAGCTGAATGGCAATAACTGACTGTGCATACATTCCTACCCCACTCCAACGGTAAAATCCCTTATTTTAAACCACTTTCAAGGTGATCACTGGACAGGAAGCAATTAGGTAAGTCTCAGGTAAAGCAGGTACTCTGGATCAGGTGACTATAACTTAATGTTCAGGCAAGGCAGGAATTCTCAATGACATGTGATTTTCCTTAAGAGCATGTCAAAGACAGAAATTTCCACTGTGAAAAATAATTCATCATAAGAAAAAAATCTGAAACCACTGAAACTTTCCTACATTAAAAAAAAAAAAAAACAGAAACAGTGCTGCTTGAAATGACCTGCTTAGACATATGAGACCAAGTAGAAAACATGTACACAATAAACATCATCTTCCAATTGACCTAAAATAGAAACCTTTTTCTTTTCCCGGATTTTCTATTTGTGAAAATCTTCTGAGGTTCCCACTTTCCTCTTGATGCAAGATGGAAGAAGGTTTCTTGGAGATACCTTATATGTTTCTGCAGGAACCCCAGGATGAAGGAGCATTGTCACCAAGGGAAACACAGGACTTTCAAAAAGAAATGTGAAGGGGGGGGGGGCATGAGGGGGGAGGAGGAGAGGCAAGTCTGCCTTCTCCAGCTCCCCTGAGCCCTGACCTCCTTGGCACATCTGGCTATACTACTCCAGGGATGCTGGAGTGTCTCCCCTGGCTCTGTCCTAGAGGAGAGTGCAGCAGCACAGGCATCTGCCTGCGTTCTCTTCTCTCCATCCCTCATGCTTCTGAGAGCAGGGAACCTGGAACAACAGCTGCTGCCAGCATCTGAGCGACTGCCACAGCACGTTCCTCAGCAAAGCCGCATCAGATGGCCAGGATGGGAGAGTGAGAGGAGGGGCCCTGCTAAAAACCTGCCCAGATGCGATTTGTTCTGGCTATGCAGGTCTTTCTCAAGGAGACACCAGCCACTGTTGTTCATCCTAATGGAGCCTGGAGGATATTCAGAAGGTGTCCCTGTGTGTCTCTGTGCACACAGACCTGCTCTCCCTGCTGGGGACATGGGAGCAGAGGTGTCTCTGCAGGCAAAGGGGGAGGACAGAAGCAGCCTCCCCACCATACCCTCTGTACTGTGCTTCCCCAGACTCTCAGAGGATCCACGCACGCATGGTCTCCCATGGTGCCTCTCATTGTGGTGCCTCAGCGCTCAGGGACTACCTGAGAGCCTGTTCTGGCAGGCGGCCCAGCGGGCTCGCAGCACAGCCATTCAGCCACAGCTTTCTGCTCCCCTCCTGCCTGGTGTCCCCCCCGGCACAGTCCCTCCTACCGGCATAGAGGGGAATCTCAGAACCCCTCTCTCCCGCACGTGTGGAGCTGGCCACGACAGCGATCACTTCTGCTGCAGGGGACCCAATCTGGGCCTGAGGAGTGGTGCAGAGTGGAAAACGTCCCCCAGTTCCAGAGCGGATGAGCTGGGACAGCTGAGTGGGAGGAGGATACCTGCCAGATGGCCAGCGCCAGCAGAAACCTGAAGCCACTGGTGTCAGACAGCCTTGCCTGCCAGCTGTCTATGAACATACATGCCCATGTAATGGTAAACACCGGGCTTTGAGGCCTGCTCAGCCCAAATTTGCAGAGTAGCCTAACAAGGAAAAATTAGGAAAAAGGGAATAAATATGTGGAACCTGGTAGTCCAGGGCCACATGCATCTCCCAGGCTCCCAGGATATCCCTTCTCTGGGCAGAAACAGCCTTCAAAATGCAAACATACCAGCAGAATTGAAAGTGCAGCTGGGCAGGAAGCTATTCCCCCGCCTGGAGAACATGTCTGAGATTCGAAATCTCCAATGGGTTCACAACACTGAAAACGTGAAAAACATTTCAGGATGGGTCGTTCAAAGGTTTCATTTCAAACAGTTATGTGTTTGGATTTCCAAAAGGAGAGGGGTACTAAAATCAGTTTATGTCACCAAATAAAATGCTATTTCAGACCAGAAACCTAGGCCTTTCTCTCTCAAAATTACTAAGGCTAAGAATGTCAAAATGCTTTCCAGCTGTAACAGTCATCAAAACTGATAGTTACATTTAGATGAAGCCTTTCCCAGTGAAAAGTCCTTTCATTGAAATACCCTCCCTATCAAGCTCCAGTGGAAAGTTTGTCATGGATTAGTCCTCTAGAAACAGATCATGGTCCAGCATCTAGTGAAGAGCACCCATCCTCTACTTCCCTGTCCCTGTCTCCCATTAGCTGCCTATCTTCTCTTCTATTTAAACAAAATAGTTTTAGGAAATCTCTCTGTTTTATTGTGTACCTGACAGAGTCCAACATATAGGATTCTTAATTGGGCCCCTGGACTCTCTTCTAACTATAAAGATCACAGCTGGTCATGCCTCCTGTTGTGTAGCCACCTAGGCCTGGCCTTTGAGGTCCAGGTTGCTTCCTCCAGGAGGACGCTGTGCAGACAATCAGCTCTGAAACAAGGCCTGGCATCAGGAACAGCCAGATGCTAAAACTTCCCAGCCAGCCACCTGCATAGAAGGTCTCACTGGATCAGCATGCAGCCATGAGTTATGGCCAGTGAGATACCAAAACCAACGTCAGCCCTAGGAGGAGGAGATAATCTCTGCAAGTCAGTGCTTCTGAGACCTGGGTGTCTCTGAGACTGTCACTTAAAGCTCTGTCTTTGTTTATCCATAAGGCCTCATTAAGAGGAGGTCTGGTACTCTGTCCCTGGCCCCACAGCTATCAAATATCCTTTGCAAATTGAGAGCTCTCTTTTTCTTTTTTCTTTTTTTTTTTGAGCAAGAGTTTCTATCTTCTTGTTTTTTTAAATCTAACACTTTTGTCGACCTCTAAAAAAAAAAAAACCTTCCAGCAGTTTATTCCAACACAAAATGAAGGCTTTTAATTTTCATGCATTTTTCTTTACCCTCTCCCTTCCCCTGCCCTCAAGGCCATTTAGAAAAAGAAAACTTTTAATAAAAGAGGAAAAGTTGAGAGTGAAAAGAGAGGAAAATATCGAACTTGCAGTAAAATTTGATAATAATGAAAAAACCCTGTTTAAAAATGACTAAGCCTTCAGTTCTAGCCTCCCCTTCTCATTTTCCTCCTCAGGCTGTGAAGCTTTCCTGCAGCAAAACCAGGAAAGCACCGAAAATTCAACACCACTGTTGGAGTTGAAGCTCTTCACAGGTTTGGGCATAGTTTGTCCGTCATACATCCCACACACAGTGGGTCAGAGGAGTTCTTGTCATCAGTAGGATGGCCAGATGTATCTTTGTCAAATACATGAGGAGGGAAAGGTGAACTTCTTGCAAACCCACTCCAAATGCCCCAGTCTCAATATCTTACTGTCGGTGCTCAGCCTATCCCACAGCACAGCTACACAGTTGAATTTGGTTTCCCCAAAGAGCCGCTGGGCTGAAAGCAGGAGAGAGCAGAGAGGAGAAGTGCATCTTGAGGAGGAAGTAGGATATCTCAGATGCTAACACGGACACACATACAGGAGAGGAAGTGTGCTCAAAATAGGACACAACTTCCTGCAACAACCGCAGCAGACCAAACAGTTGCAGCACCGTAAAGTGGAATACCACCCTTACCCAGAAAACCCTGCATCGCTTCAAACACTCTCCTACCCGAGACGTCCGCCCCCATCTCCCTTCCTCACTGAGGCCTGAATTTGAGAACTACCCACATGTTACACACAGGCAGAAACAACAAAACCTTTGGGGGCAGCCACAGGATTTTTTCTTTCTTTAGGAGCAGCTCTGCGAGGGAGGGGAGGCAAGGGAGAGAAGTACTGTTTTCCCCAAGGTCCTGAGATTTGGCACTGATTTAAAAGTGGATTTTATTGCCCAGGCCTCTGATTCCTAGCCGGCTGGGCTGCTAGAGAGCCTGGAGCCTGCACCAGCGTACAGAGGTGACAACTCTTCCATGTGCAAGGAAGCAGAGCCCAGGCAACAGCGGGTACTTCTGCCCACCAGTTAGCCAGTCTGCATAACACCACCAGTCATGGATACATATGCCCTACATCAGTCCTTCTAGCAGGAAGCGAAACTCTCCAATCTCTCCTTAACAAAGTGGGAAAACATCAGGGCCCAGTTAAAAAAGTCAAATATATGCACACATCACCTCAAGAGTGGGCATACAAGGTGATCTGCCAAGAAAGCAAGAGATTTATCATGCTGATACGCATGGGAGTGAGTAAGGCTGCAAACACCCCTCCTGCCACTTCCCCTCGCATCCGCGTCCTCCAGCCTCCGCTCTCCTACGTGCTGCACTGCGCCGTCCCAGGGTGAACTGTGCCCAGGCGCAACGCAGGCATCACGGTCTAAGGCTGGGGGAAGCCACTCAACTCGAAACCTAGCAAACGCATGTTGCTTGAACATAGAAAGCCACCATTTCAGACAGGCTCAGGAAGGTCTATGCTTTCATTGACGCAGCCCAGGCAATCTGTGGTTCCCCGTCGTGTTACTAGATAAAAAAACAAAAGGTAATCCCTCCCCCCACACAAGCCCAAGGAGTCCAGCTTATGTCAGGGGCAGCTGATGCCTGCCTAGGAGCGCTCATCCTCCCAGCCTTTGTGCAAAGAGCCCACACAACGTCTTCAGTCCCTCTGCTGGCCCTTGCGTTGAACCAGCGAAACATTTTTGCTGGGTAGCATCCACCTTTCAATGTGAACAGAGGTGAGAGTTAGGGGAAATGGAAGAAAGTACTTGAGGGGACTGCAGTGCCCAGCCTCCACTTCCTTTGGCCTTTATCCCTCCTCACAGATATCCTATCCCTGCCCTGCCACCACCCCCCCCCCGCACTAGTCCAAACCCACACACTCACTTGCTCTCTTGCCCGGGATATCCACGTGTCCAAGAGCAGCTCCATCCTGCTCTGGTGAAATCTCTTGGTCGTCTTCACAGCTATGAAAATGTCCCGAAGCTTCAGGCCTCCCCCAGTCCTGTATTCATCCTGAGGATGGGCCTGCAGGTCTTTCTGCCTCCTGCAATCACCTCCACCATCCTTTGGGCTCACTTTGGCCTGTTGCTCTGGATTCTCCGACAACCCTTCTCCGAGCCCCGGGTATGGGGCTGTTTCTTGAGCCCCACGATGCCTTACAGAAAGGAGAGCCATGCCGATAAGGAAAATAGTGGCTCCAGAGAGACCACGGATGAGCCGGCGGCCCATGGCTCCCGAAATGTTCCTGCTGCTGCCAGAAGCCTATCAGACAAGGACAATTTCTGCTTCTACCTCCACGTGAATCCGTCCATTCTTCTTTAAGCCTCCGACAGGACAAGCTGAGAGTGAGGTCCGAATAGGATGTGGCCAAGGAGTGGGATGGGTGTGGACCAGAACGCAAAAAAGAAGATTCACAGAGACCCAAGGGCCAAGCCAAAGAGACAACAGCCCCAGGGCACAGAGGTGAAGAGGGGAATTTCTACAGACCAAGGAGAGTTGATTACCCAGCGAGGCAGGGACAGGAGACAGGAAATACTCCAAGGCGACTGGCAGCTGGCTGGCACAGCCTG